GTAATACGCACAGGAGAGTACGAGAAGTGGGAGCAGGTACTGAACGGCGATCAGTGCAGTGTTGTACCTGAAAAGATGTCACATCTACGCCACTAAGGAATCATCACTTAAGCTGTTGAACTCACAGCGAGGCCAATGTGGATGTTTCATATGTGCCGTCCGGGTAGTTATCGGTCAGACACAGAGTGTCAGCAAACAACGTCTCGCCATCGTAGAAGTAATTAAGCTCGAGCTGAACGGAATAACAAATGGACGAGAATACGTGTCAAAGAAAAAGACAGCCAATTCGAGAACCAAAACTCGCTGTTCATTCAGCACACAAGCTTCTGCACCACAAATCAGAAGGAGAACTTTGCTTTGCTATTTTGCAATGGATAACAATAACTGAGGGATGATTAGAGGCAGCTCCTCAATTACAACAAAACAAAAACTGCCAATTAACAAGCCGCCTGATACAGTATAAGAGATTTGTTCCCGAGAAATCGACGTAATCAAACTAGAGCACGTTTTGAAATTGATTTTAAAGGCACAACCCAGGCAGAGTTCGTGTGAACGGTCTGTAGTATAGAACCCTAGAGGACAATCACAAATGTGGCGTTCCCGTGCACGGAAACCAACCGACAAGAGCGCTTGGGCCTTGCAAAGTAAGCTGCTGAAGCTGCAGATTTTTCTCTTATCAGGCTGTTGTCTGGCGCTCTCTCATCTGTAGCGCTCTCTCGCCTCATACTCTCCTCTCCGCGCTTAGTCTCTCATTCCCTTAGCACAGCCGATTAGGAAGGTGAGTGAGCCCTTAACCTAAGCGTTTTCGACGGATTCTTTTCCTTTTTTCTTTACTGCCGGCCCACTTTCGCACCAATACATTCGCATTCGTGTGCAAGAGCCACACCAATGTGATCCTGGGGCACGCCTTTAGGACGGGTGACCGCACCACATGCAAGGAAAAATTGAAGACTCTTTCCCTTTGGGAGGTATTGTACCAGTTTGAGTTTGAGGTTACAGTTATTGTAATACTATACTTTTTGTGACTATCTGAGCCCCAAATTTAACACAACACCTCTCCATTTCAATAGCACATAAAAAACCGATGAAATGGCTGCATGTCAGGAAGGTTTACAGAATGTCTAGGTTTACAGAGTTTAGGAAGGTGTACGGTACCACCCGATTCGATTTTTGCACTTCTACCACTTTTACTCAGAATCTCAACATCGACAGAGCGATTCCCTATATCTCTCCTTCCTGTGGGTTACGATCCAGTGAAGCTTCCTTACGAGAGCAGAATCGCTCTTAAAGGAGGAATATTCACCTAGTTGAGAGACCGCCGGACCTTCTGAGGGTGCGGACTGACGCGCAATTGGCACCGAAAAATTTGACCTCGGCGATAGCATGGCTCATTCTTGGCGCGGCGGCGGGGTCCGCCCACCGACCATCTAATCACTCGCCGCAGGTCTATACGTGGCGAGTGATTAGATAGCAGAGAGAGCGTAGTGTTGAAGAGGGCACAGCGATGAGAGTCGCATCAATGCGCAAATCAACGGGCAAGGAAGGGGTCCCATTTCTCGGGTTCTGGGCCGTTTCTCATGGTTCTTCCTTCTTTCGTGTACCACTCACCATCCTGGTTAATTTGAAATGGGTTGCTTTTTCATCGTGAATTCGTCCTTTCAAGCACAAGCTACTCAATCCTTCAAACAATATTGAACCCAGAATCAAGTGGGAGGCTGTGTAGTTTCTTCTCGAAGTTAAAGGCAAACCCCGGGATTAGCCCGACTGGTAGGAAGAAGTTTTAGGGTACGCATCTGCATAGATCATGCCAGCTTCGTTGCCCAAATTGCGCGATTAGGGCGCTAATCCATTACGAACCTGCAACCATCGACCCTCGCTGCAACGCTTCCCACCCACCGCTATTGATGTAGAGATCAGCGTGCTCTCTCGCGTGTTTTGTCTTCTTTGATCGCCCTGTCTCGCCATCGTACCACATCCGACCTTATTGAAGGTTAAGGCCTTAATTTTAGCGTTTCCAAAGATTTCTCTTGCTTTCCTTTCCACTTTCAGGTCATTCGCAGCTCAGCCATCACTACGAAGCGCCCATATACAACAGTTTTATCCCAAGGCTTGCCTTTAATGACACCACTGGTGTCGGTGAAAATTAGCGTAAGGGATTATCCTCCAAACTCAATTGATGTGATGGATCAAGGAAGGACTTCGGCAGAAAACTGGGCATTTTGCAAGACAGAGCGCCCGCGATGAAAAGCGAAAAATGGGCAAAGCTGGTTGCTGGGAAATAAATGCGCTCGAGTAGGGATGATGTTATTTTTCTCACTCAAATTAGACGGACCACTATGAGCAGCATATGCTGGAGAGCCTTCTTTGTGCGTAATCGAAAGTTCGACAAGTTGGCGAAAACACTCGAGAAATCCTCGGACGAGCTCCAGCGACCACTTCGAAAACTGGTATTGTTTCGTTTTTTTGTTAGTAAACTCGATAAATAAATTTGGTTATCCACTTGTCCCTTTCAAACTTGGTCGATTTTTCATGAGCACTTTGAAATTGGTACCGTAGTTTGTGGTCACCCTACAGATCGTCCCGTTTTTAGCGCTGATCTATGGCACCCCAACGTTATTTTCCATAATCGCTCATTGTTCCAGTTCCTTCATTCCTGCTTTGGTCTGTCGTCCTTTGTACCTCACATCTAGGAGCGCTAATTGAAGGTCACCTTCTATCAAACACATTCAGGATCAACCTGAATTGCCGGAATAGGCAATAGAAAAAAATCCGCGCTCCGATTTTCTCTGAACTCGTTTTCCAGCTATTATCTAAAGAATCAATGATATTTGCCTTTGATGTAAGAAATGCCGGGATTCCACAGATAATGGAAAAAATCCATATCAAGCAAATCACAGCCACGGTAGCATGTTTCCCTGGGCGTCGTCGCATTGGATGCACGATTGCCGAATACCTAATAGTGACAAGAGTAAGGCTCTCAGCAAAAGCCCAGAGGGAATAAGTAATATTAGGAAAACTCCCTGGAGCAAAAAGCTCACCTGTCAATGCTCATCACAATCATCGTGAACACACTGGCGCATATCGGAGTGATACCCATCATATTGTTGAAACGGCAGTAAAACCATCCCAATCTAAAAAAAAAGTTATTAAAAGGAATGGGACGTAAGTTGAGTAGATTGTTTTTCGACACAATTCAGTCATGCTGAAAAGCTTCAATAACGGAAACATCCAAAAAAAGATAACAGCTTCTCCATTCTTTGCTGCTAACATGAGAAGTTCTTCTTGATCAGCCCGATATGTAGCGATGAGAGTAAGTTGACTTTGTTCTCAAAACAAAAAAAAAAACAATGACAATTCATACTTCCAAAAATTCCAATCGGAAAATCGGATAGAGTGACTCTACGTGGATTTTGAAGAAGATTACACGACAAGATAGATAGATCAGAGGTAGAAAGTAGGGAATTATACCGGCTGTAAAGGCAGGAGGCAGCCCCTAAGTACACTGCGACGCATAATTATAGTTCCACCTACAATTTCAGTACCCGGCTGGATATCATTTTCTCACGATACGGCGCTTATCTCAGTCGGATAGTAATCAGGGTTCCTCCCAGTCATATCCTGTAGCATCCTTGAAATTTTTCGTTATGAACCCCGACAAATTCCAGCGGAGCTGACACTTTGACAATTCCTGCGTCTCTTTTGCTAGGATTTCCCTTTTACGGAAGTGACAGCGGTTTTGCCTTTGCTATAAGCTAAGGAACTTGAATGGATAATAATTCCAAATTTTGATTGGGTAAAACAATCGCGCACAAAGCGGATATTTTCGAAAAAATAAGGGATAAAAAATTGTTGCTTTCTCAAACTGGATTTCCGTGTTAATATTCAGATTCGCGTTTATATGTGTCACAATTTATCTGTAGAGCCTTTTCCAAAAACATCCCCAGATTCAAGTTTTTAGAAAATAAATTCCGCTTCCAGTGTACGTATGTGGAACGAAGCACATTCCGCTGCGAAGGATGTCCTCTCATGGACTAGCATGGCCCTACTGGCAACCATCGTAACGCTAGGCGCCCACCAACTTCTGAGTAATAAAGAAGCGTGTCGGATTCGCGTGCTATTGTTGCCATTGTTTGCTTCTCATTTTGAATGCATCTCATTTCCCTACAGCCCCCTTATTTCTAGTTATCAATCACAGACAGATTGCTGCATGATACCAGCTAATAGGAAACTTTGCAAGCGAAGGTTCCTTTTGTCACTGGCTCATCAAACGCTCAAAAGGTACCATTGGTGGGATTTTTCTCACCACGCACTCGGTCACCACTGCTAAGATCTTCCAAAGCGAGTATCTTACTCCTAAATCCATCGATTATTTCTGATATTGTTGTTTTGCCTTTTTTCCGTACTTTTCTCGAATTTTAGCCTCTCTCCAAAAAAGACAAAAGTTAAACCTATCAGGACTAAATATTTGTGTAACACAGAAAGGCACCCAAGCTTTACTCCAAAAAAATTCCAACATCTGCAAGAGTTCAAATACTCCAAAAAAATGGGCCAAAAATCAAAAAGAATCCTCTGAACTCCCGCGATATTTCGTAGTACAGGCACCTCTCAGGCTCGAAAACATTAATTATACTTTAATTATTTTGTGTTACCAAATCACTCCGTAGTCCCACATGGATTTGCAAGAGACTAAGCTAACCCTTACGGAGCGCTCCCATGGATGGAGCTATCACACCCTGGTTCCTACGAAATTTGGAACCCATTAAAAATCATATATGTACTACAATTTATTTCAGCCTTGAAAGGTGTTATCACCGAAACACAGATGTTCAAGACTCTTTTGATTTTGCCCAACTTGTTCTTGGATATTGACTCTTGTAAATTTTTGGAATTTCTTTTGACATAAAAATAATATAAAATAACAAAGGTAACAACCTTTTGTGCCTCTCTAAAAAATTGTTTACAGCACAAATATACCATTCACTTGTGATCTTGTCCCAGTCATCAGAATGACGTCAACAGTTTCATTCGATTTTATGCTAATGGAGTGCCTTCCAAAACTATTGTATAAATTTGCATGGCTCACATTGGCTTACGTCACTTACAATTGTCTACATTAGTAGCATTTGAAGGGAATTTTATGAGCGTGCATTTGGCGAATCAGATCGTCGACGTTCACAATTACCGTGAAAGCCAAGAGTAATTCATATTTGGACCACATATTCTTGAATATTCGGGGGTAACCAAAAAAGGACGCCTTACTTGAAAACGGCGTTAATCACACGTTGCTTTACTAAACCAATCTCCTATTACAAATTGAAGGGCACATTTCTATCTATCGGCCTTCGTCATAAGACCCTTCTAGACCGACAATATCAAGAATTTGACACAGGAAAGTTTCGCACGTCGAGCTCATATGGTCCAACGATGATCGCGACCATTACTACGTTATCCGCAATCTGGCTGAAAGGATCTTTGCATATTCACATATACGTCTCTGAGAATGCTGCTCACCTAAGCAATATCAGAAATATCTTTGAGCTTCGACCGAGAATACAGATTAACGTCACATTCTGATAAGATGAGGCACGAAAGGGCTTGTCTGTTGCATAAGAGCATATTTCAGGAATGTTTGCCAATAAACTTTCAACTCGCCACGGCAACCAATGCGATTAACTTCTACAGTGGCATGAGCAACGCCTTTCTTTGACCACCTCTGTAACAGTCTCTAACTGTCAGGAATATTTGCGTTAAAGCCAAAAATCACGTAGACTACGTGACATACAGTTTCGAAAGCAATATTCAAGAAGACCCGCACGAATCACTGCCGTGCCTTGACTGCATACCCTCAGTGCTACCGCGCTGGCGTGGGTGATCTACTTACTTGCGCCAGGAGCGCCTGTCATGCTCCATAAAATACAAAGTCAAATGACAGTCAGTCACAAGAGTTTGCTGAGTTCTGTCTGAGGCTTTGCTGTTTCGAAGCAGTCGCCAGGCTTGTTTAGCAGACTTCCAATATTATGCAGAACGTGAGCCCACCCACGTAATTAAACGGCGGAAATTCCGGCACTGCCTCTTCAAAATTTTTATTAGAATTTAACTGAGTACCAAATTTTCGGAGGTGTACCATGGCGCTTCATCCTGTGGGACACGTTTCGAAGCGCTCACCGTGCCAAGGTGCTTTTTCTTTGAGATGTCAAACTTCTGCGACGCAAGCAGCAGGAGAAAAGGCTTGGTGTGAATCATAGGGTTTCCACACGTGTGGAATTACCTGGACAAATATATGTATTGGTAACGTAAAGCCGGGGCTAAGTTTTGAAACGTTTTTCATTTTTGATCACAGCCAGTGAAGAACGAGATGCCTCAAATTCACGGTGTATATAGTGGAAAACACGAGTGCAAATTTTGTAACGCTAGGACAAAAATGAAGAGTTTTCCCTAACTTTTGACAGCTACTGTATGTATCGTATAGTTTTCCTGTCCTCACAGGTGCTTTTTGGTACATTTGCCCTCGACCACCATCTTGGGGTAACAGACACAAACCCTTTCTTATCGTTCACACTCAGCTTTCCAACAGATGATTATTTCTTCGTGCTACGGTAACACAAAATCAACAAAAGTTGATTTTCACGGGAACATTAAATTAAAACACCTTACATTCTTGGAACCGTGCTGTGAAGCATTGACGGGCTATGAGAAATGTAATGGAACTCTCTCATCAACAGTGGTTACAAGTGCAAACTCATTACGCTCTCAGCGTAACTATTTGGTGTCCTGGGAATCTTCTGGGTGGCCGTGGCTTTGAAGCCAGTGCAAAGTACAGCCATTGCCTGTGGGCAGAGTGAAATTACTATGAAAAATCTTATGAATGCCCTTAACGCGGATGAAATTTACTTCGAAGACTACTGCAGATGCAGGTGGTTGAATAAGCAGAGATGGAGAGAAACTTTTGGGGAAGCATGCTTTTAATATTAATAATAATAATGGTAATAATAACAGTAATGATAGTAACAATAATTATAATAATAATAATTAATAAATGGGTTTCATAGTTTCCAGGTTACTAGGAAGTACTTTAACGCCCTTCCCAGATGAGCATCAGATTAAACATTTACGCGTCGTGCCGATTTTAGCCCTGACACGCATGGGACATAGGCTGCATTGCGTGTGCGTACCGGTGATGCGGAAATGGGAACATTTTATGGAATATCGTTGTGGGACCCATAGATCTCGCTATACGACCCATATGTTTCGTTATAGGACCCATACAAGCTCAACTACACACCTACTAATTACGCTGGCGACATATTGCTCTTCCTTTCTTCTTTCTTTTCTCGTCGTTTTTTTTACCTTTTTGCTAGATTATTACTCGTTTTCTCATCATGAAATATAGGTACTACTTGGCAGCCACCAGTCTTTGTTATTAAGTGATTTTTTAGTGTTCAAACAAAGGCATTGGTTGTGCGATTTCAAGTATCAAAAATTCCTTTAAAGGACGAATTCACGATGAAAAAGCAACCCATTTCAAATTAACCTAGGGATGGTGAGTGGTACACGAAAGAAGGAAGAACCATGAGAAACGGCCCAGAACCCGAGAAATGGTACCCCTTCCTTGCCCGTTGATTCGAGCATTGATGCGACTCTCATCGCTGTGCCCTCTTCAACACTACGCTCTCTCAGCTATCTAATCACTCGCCACGTATTGAACTACGGCGAGTGATCAGATGATCGGTGGGCGGAGATCGCCGGACCCGCCAGCTTTGAGGCATGATAGGTCGCCGAGGTCAAATTTTTCCATGCGAATTGCGCGTCAGTTCGCACCCTCAGGAGGTCCGTGGGTCCCTCAACTAGGTCAGTTTCCCTTTCTTCGACCTTCATTCTAATCGTGAATTCCTCCTTTAAATTGAAGATGAGAGCGGTCTGTTCTTTTTTGGCTTCAAGGGAAAGCAGGTTGCATAGTCACAAAGGAAAATGGATTAGTCAATGGAAAATGTTTGGAGAAGAGCTTACAAGGGAGGTCTTTCAGGGCAAGGTGCGCTTTTTGGAAACGGTTCAGTACATGTTGTAGGGACGCATGTATGGACCACAAAACCATGTTTCGTT